CCCAGATTCTTGGAATCTCTCCGCAGCGCCCAGCAGGCCAGCTCTTGGCAGCGCTTCGAGTCCTATCTAGGCCCTGAGTTCTAGTCATTTCCTTCCTTGTTTTCAGAAACCACTCGCCTGTGTAGGCCCCAGCCCCACTCGGCTTCTGTTAATCACGTCGCTTTCCTGTTCCCGCCTATTTGCTAATTCATTCCTCGGAACAGTCCTAACCCAACCGGCAGGTAGGTTGGAATCCCCGGTGAAGTCGGTCACTTCTGGGGCCGACTGGGTATTGACCACTGATTGTTGTTAAAAGCACATGTGTCCGCCTCTCGGGGCCAGCAGAGAAAACGTTAAGCCCGCTGTTTTTTTCAGAGGGGCAGCTTATTTTTAAAGGCGGTCCGTGCACATCATCTAGGCTTCTCTTTCACTAGGAAAATAAACGACCAAATATTGTCTCTCCCGTTTCCCAGTTTATTTTCTTCATAGCACTGATCACCCATCCACATGTATCGGATTTGTTTACATAACTACGGTCCGCCCACACGCGCCCATCCCTGCCTAACTAGATCCTCAGCTCCACAGAAGCAGGAACTTGGGCTGTTTGCAGCCTTCGTGCTAAGAAGGTCCTGGTTCAGTGGGGGAAGGGAAACATAAACACACGATTATGAAACGACCTGATAAATCCAGTGATGGAGACCCGCTCAGGTCACTGTGTCTTCAGTGCCTGGGCCCCCTGCTTTCCCTGAATCACCCCCAAGGGTGAGAACCCAAGGAGCTTAATAAGTGTTGAGTGAATAAAGAAGCAGATGGAGATCTGTATCCACCTAAGGAACTAAGCCTCTGTTGAGCCCTTCTGGAAGATCCTGAAAGGCACGTGCTTTGTGCTAAGCAACAATACTACAGGTCGTAAAGGGCAGGAAACCTGGATTAAACAGCAAACTTATGAAAAGCAAGAAAGTTAAAAAAACAAACCAAAACAAAACTCTCTCTATTCATGAAGCGTAGAGAAAAGAGCACCTAAAAGAATGGTAAGACGAGGGAGGCGCACAGGAGCTGCCAGCGATGGTGCAGCTTCGGGCAAGTCACATAACAGTCCCAGAGTCTCAGTTCTTCACGCACGGGGCAGCAGGGTCCTCTCGGCTCTGAGGCATGTACAAGGGCAACTGAACAGTACCGCTGCCACTTACTGAGCATGTGCTGTGTGCCAGACATAGTCCTGCCTTTACCCATATGAATTCCTTTAATCCTCACCACCCACGGTATTATTTTCCCCATCTAACAGGCGAGGAGACCGAGGCACAGGGAGGTCAGTTAACTTGCACAGGCTGCAAACGTAGTGAGTGGCAGAGCTGGAATTCAAGTCCAGGCAGGCAATTTGACTGTAGGACCTGAATTAAAAAAAAAAAAACATTTAAAATTGTGTATCAGACAAAGGAGTGTATAAAACACATAAGAATATTTTTAAAGGGTGAATAACAGAAAAAAATTCAATGATCACTCATGTACCCACTTCCCAAACAGGAAATAGAACATTACGAATACCCGTGATACTCGGCTGACCCTGCTAAATGGTATTCCCCTCCTCTCCAGAAGCGGTAACCACTTATTTAAATGCTGTGTTAATCATGCTCATGCTTTAACAGTTTTTGATCCTAAATATTATATTGTTAAGTTTTGCTTGCTTTTGAACTCCATATAAATGGACTCATACTGTACATACTGTTTGCCACTTTCTTTTTTCTCAACAGTCTACATTCATCTATGGTGATATGTGTAGCTACAATTCACTCATTTTCATGCTTGCATAGTATTCCATGTGTCAATATACCAAAATTTATTTAGCCATTTTCTGTTGATGACATTGGATTGTTTCTAGTTTTTGCTATTACCCACAGTGCTACTAAGAATGTTCTCACATATGTCTCCCAGGAAATCTATGCAAGCGTATCTCTAAAGCATGAAATTTCTGGGTCAAGGGTACAGGATATTCAGCACCACTACATAATGCCAAAATGTTGTAGCAATTTACACCCCTATGAGCAGCATATGAGATTTCCTATTGTTTCATATCCTTGCCAATGCTTAGCCATACTTTTTAATTTTTGCCAATATGATGGTGTGAAAATATCTCACTGTGGATTTTGCTTGCCAGTGAGATTGAGCACCTTTTCTTTTTTAAAAAAAGATTTTATTTATCTATTTTTATAAAGAGAGGAAAGAGAGGGAGAACAAAAGGGAGAGAAACATCAATGTGCTAGAGAAACATGGATCAGTTTCCTCTAGCACGACCCCTACTGGGGACCTGGCCGGCAACCCAGGCATGTGCCCTGACTGGGAATCAAACCCACAACCCTTTGGTCCAGGGGATGACACCCAACTGACTGAGCCACACCAGCCAGGACTGAGAACCTTTTCTATTGTTTATTGGTCATACATATTTTTCTTCTGTGAAATGTCCATATTAAAATTGGGTTACTTTTCTTGTTGATCTGTAGTAGTTCTTTATATATTATGAATAATAGCAGAGTCATTATGTTATTAGAAGACCCACAAATCTGGAACATTGCTATCTCAGAACTACTCTTTTGCTTATTCAGATTAGAATTAATCGATATGTTCCTCTCTCTTCCAAGAAATTGATGTCAAGAGTGATATTTCCTGGGTTTTGAGGCTAAGGCAGGGCAGTTACCCAGATTATGCCAGAACATGTAGAATACTTTCAATATTTAGTGAGTGTGTCAGTCAGAATCCCGTAGGAAACCAAGCTTATTCTGGATGGTTCAGATGAAGAGGCTTGAGTGAAGGGACTATTGGCAGAGACCTGGGTGAGAGGACCACATGAGAGATGTTGCTGCCTCCCAGCTCCAGTGCCAGCAGGGAGCCATTATCTCCTCCAGGGCCAGTGTGGGAGCAAGCGAGGAAATCCTGTCCCAGAGCCCAGTGAAAATTAGAGCCTCGCGGGAGAGCTGCCCAGCAGGAGCCACAAGGAGGAGCCGCAGCTGTTGACAGATAAGCATCACCAAAGCAGGAAGGCGATAGCGTGAAAAACTCAAGAGATTCTCTTCTCCCTCCTTCTGACTTCCAGACAGGGTCTCCCATGAGCCGAACACAAGTGGAGGGCAGCCAGGAGGAGGTCCTGGGTGATGCGGTCACTGGGTTTGCCTCCCGCCACCGAGGAAGGCAGCAAAGGGTGGGAAACGGACCTGCGAGAGGTGGGGACAGCCAGCACAAGCCAGCCAGGACAATGAACAGCAGCCACCTGAGACTTCACAGGAAGAAGGACAAAAAAACCCACACAAGAAGGCCGCTGAGCCCACCGGGCCTCTGCAGTGTGTAACGAGTCGTTCTCACCTTCTTAGCTAAATTAGCAAGTGTTATGAACATTAAACACAATTCATCATATACTCTGTAGCTGGTCAAGCTTATACCAAAATTACATGGTAAAACTGGGACCCTTTGCAGAGTAACTGTACAAGGGAAATATCTCCGTTTATCTGTCAGTTTCTCATCAGCAGAAAGAGAGTAACACCTACCTTATGACGGAGTTATGAGGATTAAATGAGATGATGTATAGAAAGGCCTGGAGCCAGTGCACATTCAAATGCACCTGTTGCTGTTACCACTGTGTGTCGTTGTATTCACCTCACTCTGAGTGAGGACATCGCTGCAAGTGGAGCTTGCGTCTGCATCTAATCACGCGGCCGCTGGTTCTAGAATAGTTTCATCTGATCTAGTATATTCAGCCTGTGTATCTGCATAGGAATCCACCAAAAACATAACAACACTGCCATGTGAACAGCAGTTCATAGATATAAAGCACTTTCACAATCATCATTGAATTAGTGCTTCGAACAACCCAGGCATCGTCTCTGTTGTGAGAGAGGGAAGCTGAGGAGGCTAGAAGGCACATGACCCAGACTTTCTGGCTCTAAAATGTCACAACGGTCCGGCCTCTTTCTCCCGAGTTCTGGCTCTCTAATGACCAGTGAGCATTAAATCCCACGTCAGGATATATTTTAGAGTCGACCGAAAAAGTTAATGTGGCCTTCCGGTTTAATCAAGTACTCTTTATGGACTTACATCACAGGCCATTACTATGGTTAATATTACCCTTCCTGGTGAAAAACTGCTTGAGATCTTAGCCAGTGATGATATTTCTTTGCTTTATGAGGAGAGTGACAGCTTAAGGAAAAACAGGTCCCTACCCTGGAGCAGTTTTGATCTGACGCAACCCACAGGACGGATTGCCTTCCAGGCACTGAAGACGAACACTCACAGAACCTCCATCCCCTCTGCAGTACCACGTGACCCTGCAAATGTGCCTAATTGGGATCCTTCTATCACATCTCCTGCTGGGTAAAGTGCCCTTTCATGCTGCCAGACTCTTAAAATGAAAGAACACAGCTCTCCTCTCCTCTATCACCCCCTCATGCAAAGGAAATTTCTGAAATCTAAGGGATAGAAAAGTGAGATAAGAAAAAGAGAATATTTTTCCAAGCTTTTTAAAGCATCAAATCACAAGCCAAGGGTGGGATCGGGTAGGACTGTGCCAATGATGGCGCCCTGTGACTTAGCAGGGTCCGGTTCTCACGGCCAGAAGGAAAGTGAGGACTCGGTGTCGGCTACAGGAGGTCGGATGTGGCGGAGCCGTGCCGTCGGGCTGCTCTGGGAAGAAGTGGGGCACCGTGGTTTTGAGCAGAGCTGTGGAGTCAGACAGACCTGCTCGAGGGTCCTGGTGCCTCTGCTCACCTGTTGTACGGCCTGGGCTTATCACATCAGTGTGCCGAGACTCCGTTTCCTGGTGTATGATGGCGCTCGTTAGAGTGTGGCCCTCTGTATACCACGTGGCGACATGTACGCTCGGGTGCTGAGCACAGTACCTGGCACATTCAAAGTGCTCGGCGAACGGTGCTTTCAATTTTCCTGTCACTCAACCTAATGTCATCTCGCCTGATACTGCTGCCCCAGTTAAATAGTCCATATAAAGTAAAAAGAGAAAAGAATGAATAACTCAACCATTCAAACCAACTCTTTAATGTAAACAAGAGCATATTTAATACAGTTGTTATAGTTAAGAATCAACATAGTACAGTGTACAGAAAGTCCTGTAAGTTTTGGAGAGTAAGAAGCTTTTGCCTGAGTCAAGGCAGCAAAAATAAATAGAGGCAGGTGCAAAAAGAAGCTTATGTAGAACAGACATTACGCGCTTTCCAACAGAAATGACCTACTTTCACTTCTTGCCCCTGCAAGGCTGGCAGGGGTCTGCTTCCTTCCCACACCCACTGTATGGTCCGGCAGCGCACTCCTTTACTCTCTTCAATTCAACACGTTCGTTTAGTTACCGTTTCTTCCCTGTTCTGGGCCCTGCAAGGTACACAGTAGGTGTCTCTGCCTTCAAGAACTCCTAGCCCTGTAGAGCAGACAGCCACTATTGGCCTCAATTTCTGCCAGGTCCCATCACTGGGCAGGGTTTGCACATGCATTCCCTGTTCTCAGGTGTGAGGGTTCCCAGAGGGACCCTTAAAGCTTGGCTCCTGCCCGCAGGCAGAAGGCTCATTGGTGTGTCCACCCACATGGCTGCTGTCCCTCTGGCCTTCTCTGCCTGCCCTGGAATGGAATCACCTCCTTTTCCCTGACTTTGAATCAGGTACCTGGGCTCTCCCATTTCCAGAGACACCCCCTGCCCTCTTCTCCCTTCAACAAGGAAGAAAGAAAAGCTTGGGGACAGGCAATGTTAATAAATAGAAATTCATTCCTGCTAACAAGCTAAATAGGCCCCACCCAAAAGACGGGTCCTGAAGGAAAATCTGTGTGCCTTAAGACTGCTCGTGTGTTGATGGAGAGCGGGGGGTCAACAGGGATATTACAGAAGGTGAGCTCCCTCTGCCTGCCACGCCTGATGCCTGCTCGGCTTTCAAGCACCATACGGAGAGCTGGACGTAGGGGCTCTCCAGTCAAGGGACACAGGTAACATAGAGTCAAGGAGAAGCCACAGGGCTGGAGGACCAGAGGTGGCTGGGGGAGGGGGCGGAGGGGCGGATCCGTCAGCCCCAGGGAACTGAGGGAACTTTGGTGCCCAAGGACTGAGACCCAGGTCCCAGGCCTTTTACTGGGTGTTCCCAAGGGGGACGTGTGGAGAGGAGCCCAGATTGGATGTTGGCATTGTTACAGCTATGACGACTGGACCACACAAAGAAACTGAGAAATGGGTTTGGTTATGCCAACGTAAGTCCAGTCCTAGTCACTTACGCCAGCTGCCCTACCATTTGTGTGTGATGGCCACACCCTACAATAACAGTGATGAACTTTAATAAACGTGGTTCGGAGTCGTTCTCAGCTTTCTCTAGCTAGGCAAGCAGATGATGTACCCGGGTGCCAGCCCTCGCAATGTCCTCCTCACGTTACATAGAACTCTGTTCTCAACTTTAACAAATGATCAATGCCACTGCTTTTAAGCCATAAGATAGAATGGGGTTTGAGGGGTCCCTATTAATTCAGCATTTTCCCCTGATAACATTTTATTATACAAAAAAAATCATTATACAGCCTTCCTGTTCCCTGTGCTTGGAACTCGTGATTGCTTTTCTACACAGGTGTTTCGTATTCATGAAACAGTAAAAGCTATAAATTCTACTTTATTTCCCTCACACACACATATGTACATAGACACCTTACTAATTATTCTGATAAGATCCTAAAATTAATAACTTACGTTGCCCTGCCAGCTTAGTTAAGAGCTCAGATACCAAATTCTCCTGATTACCATCGTGCAGAATGCTGAGCTGGCCCTCATTCGCAAGGCCTACAGCCCCAGAGGTGCCAGTGCCAGGGATCCCAGGCAAAGCGCAGCGGCTCCCCTAAGGAAAGAGCGAGTTTTAAATTCTGTTCCAAACTCTGCTGCTACTACTTAACGCAGTCTGATTCTCTGCCCGAAAGGTTTTCCTTCGGTCTGTGTTGGTGAATGAAAGAGGAATATTTAGTGCATAATTGGAGTTCTTTGGGTGAAAGGTAGTATTGTAAATAAGAAACATGTTTTAATAATTACAGAAAAATAGAGCGATAACTGCTTTTCATCATTAGGCAGTATTAAAGTATGTTATCGAACATATCTTATATACAAACTGAGTGACAGCTGGGTGAAAAATTAATAGCAAGGATCAGTTGATGGTCTTTTTAAAATTTGATTACCTAGTAACATCTAGCAGGCAAGCGGCTTCGACAAAATTAGTAGTTCAGGTGAAAATAACACTAAAAACACATGGCAGAATCCCGCAAGACTGCTTCACACACACAGCAGTGTGTGTTGGTGAGTATACAGGAGAAGACTTCCCAGGCGTGAACATTAATTATATATAAGAGCTCTACATTTCGTTACCATTTTAAATAAACTGTGTCTTTAAATACGGAATTCTTCGGAAAACTCACTTCATTGTCCAAAATTACAGAGACCATTTTAGTTTTTTAAGTTGGAGATAGAATGTTCATTCCAGCTGCCCAAGGGGTCCTCTGGCAGGACTGGATGAGGAGTTCACTTGCAGAGCACATGCCACACAACATCCGGCCGCCAAGTCCCAGCAACCACTGCATCCGAAAGGAAACGCTGCCCAGCATGTGCCCCAGAGAGCCTCAGCCCTCGCTGCTCTGCCTGCTGTCCCTGCCCATTAGTCTTTGAGGTGAGTAAATGCGTGTTAGTTGAAGTCCCTGGGAGGTTAGAGGATCTTGCACTCATTAATGGAGAAGAGCTTCCTTCTGTTGCGTCTTCTGGCTTGGTTCACGGCGGTTCGGACAGCACACTCGAATACCTGCTGCACCCCCCGATTGCTGAGGGCTGAGCACTCCAAGTAGCCCTTTGCTCTCACCTCCTGGGCCAGTCTCTTGCCATCCATGGCACTGATGCAGGAGGCCCTGTGGGGCCCCACCTCCCGCTGGTCAGTCTGGGTGGCCACCACCAGCACAGGGGTACAGGGCAGGTAGCTCCTGACTTCACCAATCCACTTGTTCCTCAGGTTCAGGAAAGAGCTGTGGTTGGCCACAGAGTAGCACATCAGCACCACATCGGCCTGCTGGTAGGACAGGGGACGGATGCTCCTGAAGGCGTCATTGCCAGCTGTGTCCCAGAGACCCAGGCTGATCTGGATGCCGTCCATGAAGACGTCCACGCCCGTGTTCTCATACACTGTGGGCTTGTAGGCCTCCGGGAAGGTCTCTGAGGTGAAGCGCACCAACAGGGAGGTTTTCCCCACGGCAGTGTCTCCCACCAACACGCACTTGATGGAACTCAGCATCTTCCCAGCCTGGATTCCTAGTCACAAGTTCAGAATCCCTGAATGGCTAAAGCAAACACCATTCAACACAGGGAATGAAAACCGGAGGGGTTTGTGTTCGCGGGACCTCTGGCAGCAAGTTGCAGGATGTTACCTCTCTCCGTCCATCCGAGAGAGACCACGATCTACTTTGAAACGCTCCAAAGGCTGGTCTTCAACTGGAACAGAAAAAGAAGAGGGAAAATTGAGCCTTTCTTATTTCTTTTTCTGATGCCTGGGCACTGCCTCACTGGCGAGCGAGCAGACTGAACGTGGGCCCCCCGCGGAGCAGCCTTCCTGCCCAGCGCGTCCTGCCCGCTGTTCCCCGGCAGAGAAAGCTTGGACCTGCTACCCGCCAGCTCGTGCACCCACAACTCCACCCAGTCAAGAAGCAGAAGCTGATTTTATCTCGAAAATCAGCCTAGTGATAAAAACACAAGCAACTGCTCTGATCACAACATGAAAAAGACCTCAATAGCAACCTGGTGTGTGAATGAGACGTTTCCAAACAGCTCTCTCTGGCTTCCGCCCCGAGAAGCAGGGAAGGCAGCTGACAGCGCGCTCTGTCTTCAGGGTCTAGTGCATCCCAGCCACTTCGGGAACTGCAAGGGAGAGACAACTAGTGAGCCACCAACGTTACCTGCACTTCCGTTCATTTATCGATTGACTTCTTGGTTTCTGTGGGAATCTGAGGTCAGAGGAAAGAAATTACTAGAACTCTAAAAATTTGCTGTTTTTTCCCTTGAGGTTTTTCCCCAAAAGTGGCTACCGTTACATCTGAGAGGGCACTGTCCTTGGCATTTCTGCATCAGAGACCAGACGCCATTACTTACTTGATCTCCAAGCCTCATCTTGCATATCTACAAGATTATGATAAATTTAGGAGCCACTTCTCAGAGATGTTGTGAGGATTAAATTATTTCTCTCTTTCAACATTTTTGAAATCTACCTATACATTGGGAACTCTGCTACGCCTCTGGTTAATCAAAATAACTTGCTTAAACGTAACCATGGGCAGCGCCTGTCACTTAAACAGGACTGCATGAATATGACGGAATCTGAACTTCATGAAAGGGTCAAGTCAGTTCTCAGTCACTGCAGGTGAAGGAGTTCCAGACGATGTGATCTGCTCTGGAGACAGTGTCGGGTTTGCCACGGGACATCGACACAAGGCCAACCCAGCCTCAGACAAAGGAAAGGCCTTTCAGACCAAAATCCAGAGTAAAAGTTATTTGTACAATCTGGTCTTAGAAGCTCCCCGACTGGCAGTCTTCCTGACACGTCCCACAGAAAGCAAAGCAAAGCAGACCTAGTGGTCTGCTTCAGTTTTTAAAAATGACCCCTCCGAATCCTGACCTTCACCCCAAGACACTGTTATCCTTGTCAACCCACAGTGTCTGTTTGTTTAATTAGATATAATAACCTTTTCAGATGAACTAATCAAATCAACAATTTATATGATTTTCACGGATTTGTTTTTTTTTAACCACAGGAGAGCTAAGTGTCTTTAGCCAAGTTACTTAACCTCTCTGAGTCTTGGTTGTTCAAGAAAAAATGAAAACAGGAAAAGGGCCTTTTCCATCTCACTGTTGTGAGGATTCAGCATGTGGAGAGTCTGGCTCAGCACAGAACCCGGCACACGGGACCCGCAGAGAGCTACTGTGTCACCCATTTGCACGACTGCTTGTCTAAAACACCGGACACTGAATGTCCCCAGCGCAGGGGCCAGGGTGTCACATGCTAGTGGGACTCTGTCTGAAGACTCAGGGGGTCATTCTGCTGCACGTGTTCCTGGATGTCTCTTTGTCCCCAGACCTCTGAGCAAGCTCTTCCTGGGGCCCCCAAGCAGTCTCAAACTTCAGGCCCCTAGACTTAGAGGTAACTTAATCTGTGCATGTATTGGTAACTCCCTTGTTACTTAGCTCAAAGCTAAGACTCCTTAAGACATGTGTAAGTTTTATTTTGACCCCAATGTAGCAGAACCAGAAATCGGAAATGTACATGTGTCAGGCTTTTGGTGATTAAATAAAATCTTTCCAATAGGTTGAGTAAAAGCCAAATTTCCTGACTAAATATCTGCAAAAAGAAGTCGATGAGACAAAATTGTACAGAGCAGGGTCCCCAGAGCAGGACAGATCGGATCTGGAGTCCAGGTTGCCCACACAACCACCTGCATCACAACCTTAGAAGATGTTGTTAACCTCCCTGAGCCCCAGTCCCCTCCTCTGTAAACTGAGTGTGATAACACCTCCCTCACCAGTTGTTGAGAGGATCAAGTGTGCTTAGACAAATAAAGTCCTTAGCACAGTACATAACATAAACACACTATTTGTACATGGTCAACACATAGCAAACACACAAGTAGTCCTGATTATTAATACCACTGCTTGATAACAATCACTGAATATAATGACAAACAATTATTAATAAGTGGGGAATTTGAAGTAGCACTAAAGGGGATTTTTCCTGCAAAGGACACTCTGTGTATCTTCTACCCAGTTATGACTATAAAAAAAGGGGGTGGGGTTATTCTTGCAGCCTAAAAATATATATGCAATGTGAACAAAGAAATTCTGTCTGAGCTTTGCCTTCCAGAATGCTCCAAAAAGTCAGACTGGAGAAAAAGGTTCTGTTCAACCACATGACCTTCGTTCCCTAGCCCACTCTGGCATTCAGAGGCACCTCAAGTCAGCTCTGTGGGCCTCGGGTTCCCAAACAGCAAGGTGGTTAGACAAAATTAACCTTCTCTGTGGTTCTGTTAAAACTGAAGCCAGCCCTGGCCAGTGTGGCTCAGTTGGTTAAGAGTCGCCCTGCAAAGCAAAAGGTCACCGGTTCGATTACCGTCAGAGCACATGCCTGGGTTGTGGGTTCGGTCCCTGATCAGGGCATGCATAAGAGGCATCAGAGTGATGAGCCATTTCTCTCATACATTGATGTTTCTCACCCTCACTTTCTCCCTCCCTTCCCCCTTTCTCTAAGAATAAATAAAATCTTCTTTAAAAAAACTGAGAGCAAAGGAGAAACCTTTATTGCCTGTCACAGTGACTACAAAAACATAAGCCTCCACATTATTTTGTATCAGTAAAGACAAATGGCAGACTCTGATGACATGCGTGGCCTTCAGCAGATGGCTAAATATGGAGCGGGGCGAGGAGGCAGGGGCGGGGCTCTGGCCAAGGTTAGAGCAACACCCTATATAGACAAGACAGATCATCTACAGACGCGTGCCTCGTGCCCCTGGGCTGGAGCCACCGTGGTCACGTCGTCAGTGTGGAAGGCTGGTGAGCTTCGTTTCAGTGGAATTTCTCCCAACAGGAGAAACCCTCCCTAAAATGGTTATGAGATAAAAAATAGAAGTGGGTTTTCAGTGATATTTCACAAGTGGCTAACTGACAAGTGTTCCTCAATTATATGTCTCTCATTGTAGAGAGTGACTTCAGATAGTGCCATGAGTGACTACTCAGTGACCGTTTTAGGATTCAAAGCAGGTTGGAATTAAGGAACCTTCCATCCCAGAACCTCTCATGTCTCAATACTTGTTTCTCTTCCCTCCCTCCTCTTTTCACCATTCTCACAGAAAGGATGCCTTCATCAGGCCCCCGCGGGCACACACAGAGAGAGCATGGGAAGGAGCTGCGTGTCACAAAGGCAGAGGTATCGGGTGCTTCTGTCCACTGCAGAGAAACAACACAGGCAGAAGAAAGAGAGGGCGTACGGGTAAGCATTGTAGTCCATTTCACCTGCTGGCAAGCTGAGGGCTGTCCAGTAGGGGATCCTGGTCTCACTGTAGCCTGAGTCCTCATCCAGCTCACAGATACCCGCTCTTCCTTCACACACATGCTGTGCTTCTCTATCTGCCGGGAAGACCTGCCCTTCACTCACTCCCCTGCTCTGGCCTCTTCTTGAAAACTTTATTTGACCACCTGACCCACTCTGGTAGACTGCGTGCCCCTCTCCATTGCCACACATCACACTGAAATGGTTGGTCCTCTGGTGTTTATCCCTCATCTGTGGAACGGGAATAAGATCAGCCCTACCTTCCTCAGAGGATGCTTTTAAGATTCAGGTGGCCCTGGCTGGCATAGCTCAGGGGATTGAGCATGGGCTGCAAACCAAAGTGTTGCAGGTTCGATTCCCAGTCAGGGCACATGCCTGGGTTGCAGGTCACGGCCCCCAGCAACCTCACATTGATGTTTCTCTCTCTCTCTCTCTTTCTCCCTCCCTTCCCTCTCTAAAAATAAATAAATAAAATCTTAAAAAAAGATTCAGGTGGAAATAATAACAATATGGCAATAATTTATGCTTGGACTTTTGTAAGACTTTGTACATTTGGGAATACTCTCGTTTGTTTTGTAAGAGAGCCCCTTCAGAACAATAGAGCACAATATAAAACATAGTTGAAATTATGACTATTATTAATAATTATTATTGCAAGTTTTAGGTTTTCTGGACTTTATGAGGTAATTTACTTCAAATGCTGGTGGAATCCTCAGCTGTTTTTTTCAAAAATACAAACTTGTGCATTGTCCCCATGTACACAAATTAATTCAGAATGGATCAAAGCTCTAAATATAAGATCTGAAACAATGAATTACATACTATTTGTATATACTCAACATGTAGCAAACACACAGTAAGTAGCAAACACACGAAAAGAAGAAGACATAGGTACTAGACGTATGGACCTTGGTCTTAGAGACTATTTTATTAACTGGACCCCAAAGGCAAGAGAAGGAAAGGCAAAAATAAAAGAAAACAAAACTACGTCAAACTAAAAAGCATTTGCACAGCAAACGAAATCACCAACAAAACAAGAAGACAACCTGGGTGGGTGGGCTGGAATGGGAGTAAAAGGGAGAAAACTGTACTTGAACAATGATTAAAATTAAAAAAAATTAAAAAATTTAAAAAAGACAACCAACCAAATAGGAGAAGACATTTGCAAACAGCAGCTCCAACAAGGGGTTAATATCCGAAATATATAAACAACTCATACAACTCAACACCAAGAAAACAAACAATGCAATTAAAAAATGGTCAGGGGACCTAAAATGACACTTCTCCCGAGAAGACATACAAATGGCCAACAGCTATATGAAAAGATGCTCAGCTTCACTAGCTGTAGGGAAATGCAGATCAAAACCACAACGCGATGCCCCCTCACACCTGCCAGAACGGCCGCGGTCAACAAGACAAGCAGGAACAAGTGCTGGAGAGGCTGTGGAGAGGAAGGAGCCCTCATTCACTGCTGGTGGGAATGTGAACTGCCACAGCCACTATGGAAATGGCAGTTCCTCAGAACATTAAGAATAGGGTTATAATATGACCCAGCAGTCCCTCTCCTAGGTATCCACCTGAAACATTTGAAAACATCTATTCCCAAAGACATATGCACCCCTATGTTCACTGCAGCATTATTCACGATGGCCAAGACATGGAAACAACCAAAGTGTCCTTTGATAGAGGACTGGATAAAGATGTGGTACATATGTACAACGGAATACTAACTACTCAGCCATAAGATGAAATACTGCCATTGGTGACAACATGGATGGACCTTGAATGCTAAGCTATATTATGCTAAGCAAAATAAGTGAATCAG